ACCTGAAGCCCTGTGTCCCAGCGGGGCTGCAGGTCCTTCAGGGGCCTGTGGAGTAAGCAGCATCATGTGAAGCAGTGGGTGAAATCAACCAGCTCTCAAAAGGAGCCAGACGTGATGTTTCTTCCTCTTCTCCCACTGCCCTGTGCAGCCGCATGTCCGTTATTCCAAATGGCTGGTTGCCGACCCACGAATTCTCAGGGCGATTGTTGCATCTCCGGGTTTGTGCGTGATCAGTGCAGTCCCTATTAATCACAGCCCAGACGCTGGAGTGCCTGCCATGAGATCTCATGGGGACCTTCCATCCTGCAGTGTGGGTCTGGGCATCCTCGGGGTTCACGTCCACCTCTGGTCACCTGTGAGACTGCTCCTGCCTGCCCATCTGAACCCTCCATCCTCTGGGTGCCTTTCCCGTCTCCCAGAAGGGCAAGTCTCTCCTCTGGGTTTCATAGAAAATGATGATCATGACACCTACCAGTAAGTAAACAATTGTTAGAACAAGAATGACACATGGACCCTTACTCCATCCTCATCAGGAGGTAGGCACTGCTGTTCCCATTTTACAGATGAGAAACCTGAGGCTAGAAATGTTCATTCAATTGTCCAGAACCAGGCATGAGTTAGGGCAGCTTCCGCGACTCTCATCAGCCTAAGAGAACAGAAGTCTTCCCATCAAACTTGGCATGGTCTCATTTCTTTAAAATTAAAAATGTCCAGTTTCATGTGATGCTCGAGGCTCCAAATTCATTTAAAGTTAAGATTTGGTTTCTAAGTATCATTTCCCACTGAAAGGAACCAGGACTCCTTGAAGAAATTACTTTTGTCAGATTAGAGGCAGGAAATGTACAAGATGAGCCTGACGTCTTGAGCCTGAATATAAGAAAGTGTCCAAGATACGAGAGTATTTTTAAAACAACACAGGACTCAGCTCAGAGGCTCACTGGCTCCCCAAAGATTGCGTAATCTGAGCACCAAAGGATGACAGCAACCAAATATACAAAAACTCATGAGCTCATAATAATACAAAACCAACACAATCAAACACACAAAGAACAAAAATCCCGAACCTATTGACCGTCTTTGGAGGTGGTGAGGACACCTACACGTTACTCTGAAGGGCGAACAAACAGAGGAAGACTCCAGCGTCTTGCCTGCCTCTCCTGTATGACTGCACTTCAGAGAAACCCAGCAGCGGATGGGGGAAATTCTTGATAGAAGCACCCGGCTAATTAATACAGAAGTCATTACATTCTTTGAAAATCACAGTTTTGCAACCCTCTAACAGACCAGTGGAGCTTGGGAGCAATCAGCCATGGCTGTGAAAGCCACCGGCAGCAGCATAAAGACCCACGAGGCGTATCCCACGAATGGAAAGCAACGGGGGTCCCGTTTGGATCCTGATTTGAATAAATGAACTGAAAAATTCATTTTTGAGTCAAGGGGAAAATTGAACATGGGCTGCCTATTAAATATTAGAAACTATGGGAATACTACTAAGCTTGCTTGGGTGTGATAATAGCATTGTGGGTTGTTTTTTTTTATGTCTTTATGTATTAGAGACACATACTGAAGTAGTTACCTGTATTGTATTACCATGTCTGGGATTTGCTTTAAAACCCTCCAGCAGAAATCGTATTGGGGAAAAACAGGTAAAACCTAAAAGGCAGAATATTGATAACTGTTGAAATTAGGGGATGAGGAAATGGGGGTTCATTATGCTTTCTACTTTTAAGGATATGTGAAAGCCACTTCCATAGTAATTCTTGAAAATTTTATCAAGAAGCTACAGCTTCTCTCCAGCCTGGTTCTATCTGAGCCTGAAGGACACAGAGGGGAAGGGAGTTCCCTCCTCCCCTCCCCCTCCCTCCGCCCGGGGGGTGACGTCTGGCTTGGGGGGAGGACCAGAGGAGAGCAAGGGCAGGCACCATTCCACCTGACAGCTGCCCTTGGAGCTAATGTCAGTGTTTTCTGCACCTGGCAGGTGTCGAAAGCTGACTTCCCTTCGGTGGAGGAGCAGCTTTTACGTTATTGCTAAGAGACTCTCCCTTCACCCACAGGTCCCTTACTGTGGGCGTTGCCCCATTAACTACCCCACTCCACCCCCAGCCCCGCAGGTTCCAGGTTTCCAGCAGGGCAACCCCCGCCCAGGCACACATAGACACTCAGTCGTGGCCCCAGTGTCCCTGCCTGTGACCGTCTCAGATGAAGTCGCTTTCAGATGGCTCCAGGCTGGTTCCCTTCCAGGCAGCCACACTGCATCTTTGCCTGATGCCCCAGCGACAAGAGAGCGGCTGTCCCTTGACTTTGGGGTCTCTTCATTAGTTTCCCTTCCAGATTCTCCCGAGAGAGACAGTAGGTCCCCTTGGCGGAGGCAGTCATCTGGGAAAGGATGGGCACCTCAGGGATCCTGACGTTTCCTGGGGGCTGGTGCTGTTTCTCTAAAAAGGGTTATCAAAAAAAGAACCTGTCCCATCTTCTGTCACCCTTGCTCTCTGCCGTGTGTGCAACAGGCTTCTCCAGACTAAACCACCACCGTGGGCCTCTCCCAGAAGATCTGCAGGCATGCTGGTGCCTGACACATCAGTCAACCAGCTTTCAGCAGCAAGCAACAGGACACCTGACTAGCGGTGCGTAAGCAACAGGGGCTCAGTGTTACATACAGTAAGTACAGAGGCAGAAAATCCCACATTGATCCAGTGGCTCAATGATATCAGGGCTCCAGGTCAGTGTCTCTGTGTTCTCTTGATTTTTTTTTTCTACTTTTGGTTGCAAGATGGCTGCCACCACTCCAAACATCACATCATCCACAATTATACACAAAGGCTGGAAGGAAAGGGCTGATTCATTTCATGTACCTCTGTTCTCATCAGAATGGAAAATGTTTCCCCAAATTCTCCAAAAGACATTCCTTTATATCTCATTAGCCAGAACAGGGTCCCACGCCCCCAACCCCCTGCTGCCCAAACTGAATCACTAACAAAGGGGAATAGGAGTCTCATGATTGTCTCAGACTAATCATGCTTCATCCTCTGGAGCTGGTTCCATCTTCCCTCAGTCAGCCAATCCCAGAACAGAACAGAAATTTCACTAACCAGGGAAAAGGAGGGAGAGGCTGTCGGTGGACCACAGGCACCAGAGACAAACACCACCTGCTTCTACTTCATGCTGTGCCCAGGGCAAATCATAGCATCATCAGGCCTTCCTCCTTGAAATGAAACAGCCACACACGTGTGGGGTTTGGGTGGTGGAAATAGAGCTGAGTGCTCCTGTCTAAAGAGGCTTATTTCTGCATCACACGTCCCCTAGACAGGCTGAATCACGGAGCAGGCACCACACACATCAGGGCACCACATATACACCGGGATGTGTGCCTGGCTGCCGGGTCTTCCATCTTACTTGAGACTCGGGTGTCCTGGTCCCTCCTCCAGGCAGCACTGCCAGCCGGGCTTCCTCTCCCTCCCACTTCCCTCCCACTTCCCTAGCCGGAGGCCCGGTTTGCTCAGCCAGGGAAGGGGACACACCAGGGGACTAACAGAGCTGCAAAGTGTGGTCTGGGGCATGTATAGGAGAGAGTGGGAAGACGGAAGGGGCTGGGACACAATGTGGAGACCGGCCAGAGCAACAAGAAGGGGGCTGGAGCTCTGATTGCACGCGCAGCCCACCTACGGGGAAAACGTGGAGGTGGAGGCTGGGGAGATGGGAGGACCTGTACAGAAAGAGGGAAGGGCCATTCCCTCTGATTTGCAGGGTGACTTGTAGAGATTCCTCGTTTCTGTTTTCTGCTGGTTCTGGTGAACACTTAAGCAGGTTAGTAGTGTAGCTTATGTTAATTAGTTTGAACATCCCGGCTCTGAGTTTAGGGTTAATTTAATTTTCAGCACAGTAATGGACTAATCTGATTCTCCTCTTGGGGAGTTTGAATGTGAAGTACAAAGTTACCAGAAAATAGTGGAAGCAAAATAAAAGATGGAAGATATGGGGGCAGTCCTGCCCTGAGAGATGCCGTCCACTCAGACGGAGAGAGGCGGGCTCCCGCCCTGACCTCTGAGACTCGCCCGGCCACGTGGCACAGCCCTCACGTGTCTGTGAATATGCCCTCCTTACACAGGGGAACCAGATGGTACCTTTATTAGCACAAAAGAGCTCGTTAAGATCACTCTTCAGTACGGACTGTTTTTTAACCTTCTTCAATGCGTTGCTTCCCAATTCCGATCCCAAACCAGTAAGTGAAATACACTCCAGCTCTCCGTTCACAAACGACATTGTCACGCGGGTTTTGGTCTGGGTGATGTGTGTTTGGCCAAAATATAAATTCACTCCTTCGTTCACTTGTTCATCCAACACGTATTTAATCCACACCTGGTGTCATGTTCAGGGGTGGGTGTCCCGGATGCACAAAATGGCACTGAAATGTCACAGGTCTGTTCAGAATATTTGACACCTTAGAGAAGAGCATGGGAGGACTGAAACCCAAAAGAAGCCGACGATGGAGAAAGAAAGACGCCGAAGATGTTCACTGGCTCCGGGGAAGAAGAGAGACCTGCGAGCTGCGTCCTGGGGGCGGGGGGAGGCAGGGCCCCCAGGCAGACGGCAGTGCCACCAGTGCCCCCAGACACGCAGCCCGTCCGGGGGGACAAGCTGGAGCCCGTCCCGCCAGCACCCCAGTGCAGAGCACCCACCGCCCGGGGGCCCTGTGGCTTCTGCACCTGGAGGCCAGCCCCGGCGCCAGCCCGGGAGCCCTCCGGTGTAGGCGGGCGTTGGGGGAGGGGGCCCAAGGCCCAGGCAGCTGTAAGGAGACCCGCACTCTGGACGGCGTGGCCGTTAGTGGGTTTGGCTTTCGAAACTGAAAGATGATGGAGGTCCTTCCTCATACCTGCACGCTGTGAGCGGTGCACCAGCAGGGCTGTCCAATGCGCGTGTCTGTGTGCCCGGGGTTCCGCCGGCCCGAGGCGGGAAAGTGCGAGTTTTCCAAGAACACGTGGTCGGCGGAGCCTCCTGGTCACGTTGTGGGTAATTAAGAGCAGGAGCCGCTGCCGCGAGTTGGCCGCCGGACTCCAGGCCAGATCGAGCCTGCACGCAGCCGAGCATCGAGGCTGTGGCAGCGCGGCGTTCCAGCTCGTCCATGGGCGCGCTCAGAAGCCTCCAGACCAGGACGTGGGATACGGGCTCTAAGCACCTTTCAGAAGGAGAGAGGATCGATTTTTCTTACTTTTTGCCACAGCGGACGTGACAATCAAAGTCTCCCAGCTCCATGCAGGTTAGGGCTATGGACACAGTAGCTCCCCTGTCCCTGGGGGCCCCGTTCGCTGGGCACCCCGATGCAGGGCTGACCGCAGGGGGGGCCCTGGGCCCCGCACCCCAGCGTCCTCCTTCACAAAGTGGGGATCACGGTCGTCCTATGTCAGGGCCCTGCACGGATGGGGTGACAGGCTCATCCGGTGCTCAGCCTGGGAAGAGGTCTCCGTGCGAGTTCACCGACATCACTGTTCACTAGCAAACAAGGTGGGTGTGCGTGTGGCCCACGTGTGCGTTTATTGATCGGCCTACATCCTTGTACAAGGAAGGAACTGAAGTCTGGGGAGTGAGGGTAACAGACAACCCGGGAAGTCGGCCTGATGGTGTCGGATTGTCCGAGTGTCCTCGGAGTGCTCTCAGACTGACTGTCCCCCGGGCCCAGCCCCCGCCGCTGCCACGATGTCCAGGAGGAGCGAACAGCCCCCTTCAGAAGCAGCTGGGAGACACCAGGAGCAGCAGCCCCTCGGCCGACCTCTCCGGCTCGCGGGAGACGGGTGCCACCCAGCGGGCCGGACTCCCGCTCGCACCGGGGGCGCTGGTCCCTCTGAGCTGCTGGGTCTCACCTCCAACCACGAGAGCGAGCCTTCTCGCTGGACGTGCTCGGCGGGGGTGGAGGGGACACTGACGGAGGGGCTGAGCCCCACAGTTCCTGGTGAAGTGACACAGATAAGGCCCCGGGGGTGGTTTGGTTTTGCCCAGAGGTCGGAGGGAGCCCTGGCTCCCACGAAGCAGCCCCGGGACCTTGATTCAAACCCCCGGCGCCTCTCGGCCGCTGCCTTCCTCACGCGGGACGCGGGCGTGAGC